TTTAAGCAAATTAATTTTTAATCCATTTCCCATTTGCCCCAGGAATACTCACCCACAGTGCTTGCAGCTGCATCGTTAACCCAAGATAACTTGCAGATTACAGCCCTAACCTTACCCCCAAAGTTTGCCACAAAATATCTCACTTTTATTATTTTCACATCGCTCTAGTATATTGATAATCTTTGGAAACAAATGACATCGTTCCATTTATAGCATTCGGTTTTTAGTAGCAGTATTCCCATTTACAAAGTATAGTACTTCTCAATCGCTGAAAATGTCAATCCTAGAAACGTAGCATTCCTATGTGTGATGTTAACATTGTTCTTGAACAGTTGTTAGCCGAAGATTCATTTAATGAATCTGATTTATGTATACATTTCTATTGCATTAGGATTAGAGACAAGTTCTGTTTAGAAATAATTCCAAGAATAGTTTTTGTATTTTATTTTCACATCAAAAACCAGTCTGATTTACTTCAGCCTCAAAGAGCATGTTTATGTAAAATTAAATTAATGCTGGCAGCAAGCTGCACCTTTTTTTCTAAACGGGATATGGGTTAAGGACTTGGTTCCCCCACCCTCTTAAGCATTTTCAACCATGACCCTCAATAAGAAATATTTTACATCTTGAACCCACATAAATATACTATATATACTATTTACATGTATGTTTATACCTAAAACAAGCATTTCATATAGTGGTACCCTTGCTGCTTATAATACACCTCTCATGTATTTATTCTATTTTTTTTTTTACTATTTGTCACAATTACGGAATTTGTTTCACAGTTTACTAATACGTCCCAACAATTTGAAACATTCCGTAGCAGCGGTGATAAGGCAGTGAAGAAAACAGTGCATGTTTTCCTCATAACTTACGTTCTAATGGGTCTAAAAAGACAAGGCAAAATTAGGAAGTATATAGTGAGTCAAATGATAAGTGCTGTGGGGAAAAATAAAGCAGGGTAAGGCAAGTGGGAAGAATCAAAGGTGTAGGGGGGATGGGAGGAATTACTTTATATTGGGCGATAAGGAAGGCCTCACCCAATTGAGTGATATCTGAGCAGACACCCGGAGGGAATGAGAGAATTCAAGCTGAATAGACCACTCCGCTTCCTCTTCAGGGTTGCCGAGAGAGTCTGCGTTACGCCCTTCTCTCCTCCTCCCAGGCTCTTCCTCGGTTGGGTGAGATTAGTTTTCCCTTTTCCATTTTTTTTTTTTTTTTTTTTTTTACAGAGACCTAAATTACTTCCGGGTTTAGAACAATAAATGTTATTATTCCAACAGTTTCCCAATTATACTCTTGGAAGGTAATTTCTACCAGGACCTAAAATATTATTTCATGCCTACAGTCTGAGCTTTTGTAACCTAATTGGGTAGACTCTCATTAGTCATAAGAATACTGAGGACAAGGTGAGTAGATGTCACTGGAGGTTGAAATGCGCTTGTCTTCATTCCCCTGCAGCCAACCGATTATAGCTCTTGTGTTAAATGTGAGACTTAAAGCTCTAAACGGGTCACATTTACACTTGGAGGATAAGAGCCTGGTGACTCCATTCTTGGCCTACACTTGCAAGTGTGAAATCCTGATATTTCTGAACAAAGCATTCATGTGTCCTCATCGCTGAATATCGCTTTTTCTTACAGGCAGCAAGAATCAAAATGAGGTGGAGACTCTTCGAAAAGTTGCATTAAAATGCCTGTCCCATGAAGAGCTATCCTGCTGGCAAATCTGGAAACAGATTGCAAGTGACTTAACCCAGTGTCTTCAGAGGAAGAGTTCTCAGTCACTACCAGGCAATTATGTGCGGTTTTCTGAAAATGAAAATGATCTAGTGAATCACAAAGGAGATAGCTCCTGTTTCGTTGAAAATCAAGAGTTTTCGGTTTCGAGAACCCAGGATTCTTGTGGGAATATATATCTGAGTAAGACACAGAATCAGATTAGAGGTAAGCAAATTCTTGTGAAAAATAACCCACACGTCGTATGTGAAACCTTCATGAAGAAATCACCGCTTAGTGATATTAAAACCGATACAGAACAGAAACCCTACAAATCTAGTGAATGTGGCAAAAGCTTGAGCGATGGCTTCAATCCGTGTTTACCCTTCAGGGAGAAACTCCGTCCATGCAGTGAGTGTGGAAAGGGCTTCACTTATAGCTCGTTGCTTTCAAGTCATAGGAGTGTTTGCACAGGAGAGAAATGTTCCAGTCAGAACTCACATCTGCAGACTCATCAGAGGATTCACCCAGGAGAGAAACTCGCTAAATGTCACGAGTCCGGTGAGTGCTTCATTAGGGGCTCCTTCCATTCTCATCATTCTCATCATGCAGGAGAGAAGTCCTATAGATGTGACAGTTGTGGCAAGGGATTCAGTAGCAGCACAGGTCTTACCATTCACTACAGAACTCACACTGGAGAGAAACCTTATAAATGTGAAGAATGTGGTAAATGCTTTAGTCAGAGTTCAAATTTTCAGTGCCATCAGAGAGTCCACACTGAAGAAAAACCATACAAATGTGAGGAGTGTGGCAAGGGCTTCGGCTGGAGTGTTAATCTTCGTGTTCATCAGAGGGTCCACAGGGGCGAGAAACCCTATAAATGTGAAGAGTGCGGTAAGGGCTTCACTCAGGCTGCTCATTATCACATCCATCAGAGGGTCCACACTGGGGAGAAACCTTACAAATGTGATGTCTGTGGTAAGGGCTTCAGTCACAATTCACCATTAATATGCCATCGGCGAGTTCACACTGGAGAGAAACCGTACAAATGTGAGGCATGTGGGAAAGGCTTTACTCGTAACACAGATCTTCACATCCATTTCCGAGTTCACACAGGAGAGAAACCCTACAAGTGTAAGGAGTGTGGGAAAGGCTTCAGTCAGGCTTCAAATCTTCAAGTCCATCAGAATGTCCACACTGGGGAGAAACGATTCAAATGTGAAACGTGTGGGAAGGGCTTCAGTCAGTCATCAAAACTTCAAACCCATCAGAGAGTCCATACTGGAGAGAAACCATACAAATGTGACGTTTGTGGTAAGGACTTCAGTTACAGTTCGAACCTTAAACTGCACCAAGTAATTCACACTGGAGAAAAACCATACAAATGTGAGGAGTGTGGGAAGGGCTTCAGTTGGAGATCAAATCTTCACGCTCATCAGAGAATCCACTCAGGAGAGAAACCCTATAAATGTGAAGCATGCGATAAGAGTTTCAGTCAGGCCATAGACTTTCGTGTGCATCAGAGGGTACACACTGGAGAGAAACCATATCGATGTGGTGTGTGCGGTAAGGGCTTCAGCCAGTCCTCTGGTCTTCAGTCCCATCAGAGGGTCCACACGGGGGAAAAGCCATACAAATGTGATGTCTGTGGAAAGGGCTTTAGATACAGTTCACAGTTCATATACCATCAGAGAGGACACACTGGAGAAAAACCTTACAAATGCGAGGAGTGTGGGAAAGGCTTCGGGAGGAGCTTGAACCTTCGCCATCACCAGAGGGTCCATACAGGAGAGAAACCCCATAAATGTGAGGAGTGTGGGAAGGCCTTCAGTCTCCCCTCAAATCTTAGAGTCCATCTGAGTGTTCACACTAGGGAGAAATTATTTAAATGTGAGGAGTGCGGTAAGGGCTTCAGTCAGAGTTCACGTCTTCAGGCCCATCAGAGGGTCCACACTGGAGAAAAACCGTACAAATGTAATATATGTGGTAAGGACTTCAGTCACCGTTCACGTCTCACGTACCATCAGAAAGTCCACACTGGCAAGAATCTTTAAAAATGACAGATACGTCCATGACTTCAGTCAGGATGTACATCTTCAAGGTTTTGTTGCATCCACGCTGGTGATAAACGCTATTATGTAGAAAGGATTTCTTCAGTTGCAGTCTTTCTAACAAATCCTTTAAAATGATGAATAGAACCAGAATAACAGGAACAGGACTTGTATTCAGGAGAGAAATAAGTCGTAACCCTCTTGATAAAATCCAGTTCATATAAATGAGCTTTCAAAGTGAATACATGCCTGAAGATAATTGTGAAAAGGATATTTGCCATATCTTAGCTAGTTTTTCAGTGGCGGGGAAGGTTTTGGATTACTTTTCCTTCAACTTCCATTTTATATGTATTTTAGTGACTGTTATTTTTGCTAAAGCTGTAGAGCTATGAAAAATGAAATGAGTAAAATAACAAAGTTTCCTGCACCCAAGAACTCCTGATTGCTTTATTTCCTATGGTATGTTGAATTAAAACAGGAATAGCCTTCCCAGAGATGAATCTTTGCTCTTTAGAAGTAAATTTGTATCTACTGCAAATGTATATAATGGTATCATCGTTTATAATAGCAAACCTAGAAATAATTGTATTGCCAAAATATTTTACAATTTTTTGATCCAATAAGACACTATGCGAACACCAAATAGGAGAAGATAAACTTGTAGTTACGGCTGTCGGATGGTGTCCTGACTATATTAACGTGGAAGAACGCAAAGCATGGGATTTTTGTGTGATCTCATCAAAAGAAAAAGTATAGATGAATAGGTAGATATTTATTTATAGTTATCTCTAAATGATGGGATTTCGCATTTCCTTAAATTTCTTGTTTGGAAAAAATTTTAAAACTCACTCACATACCCTTTATCCAGAATCACTAGTTGTTAATGTGTTTGAATCATTATTCTGTGTAAGCATATGTTTTTATTCACACACACACACACACACACACACACACACAATGTTTTCATTCACACATACACACACACATATTGATACTTATGTGTATACATACTTTTTTTAACCATGAATATGTTACAGACATCTTACCCCTTGCATCTAAACACTTAAGTACTTTGTGTACACATACTTTTTTTTAACCATGATTATGTTAAAGACATCTTACCCCTTGCATCTAAACACTTAAGTACATGTCCTAAGAACAAGGATATTTATTTAGCTACAATACAAGTACAACATTCAGGAAAATTTATACTGATACATAACATTATCCAACCTACAGACCTTATTGAAATTTTATCAATTGCCCCAATAATACATTTATCACATTGTTTTCCCTGGGCTAGATTATACGCTGTTTAGACTCCTTTCAGCTGGAGCATTACCTCATTCTTTAATAATCGTGATAGTTTTGAGTGTCTCAAATTTGGATTTCTCTGATGTTGCCTTATGATTGGATTCAAATTAGACTTTTTTTTTTTTTTGGCACAAGGATTCCTAAGTGATGTGTCTTTTGTGCATCATGTAAGGAAACATGTTGGTCTCATTATAGGTGAGGTTAACTTAAGATAGGTGTGAGCTTGGTTCTTCTATTGTAAATGTTCCATTTTTCTCTTAATATTTTCTGGTTTTCTAAATAGCTTCTATTAAGGGCAATAAGATGCAAACAGAAACACCCATAAAGTATTCTTTCTTTAAAAAAAAAAAATTGAATTTCTAATTCTAACCATTGGTGTACAGAAAATATGGAGAAATATTTGCGACATCAGTGAAACTGGAGGACATTATGCTAAATGAAATAAGCCAATGAAACTGGAGGGCATTAAGCTAAATGAAATAAGCCAGACAGAGAAAGGTACTACATGATGTCACATGTGGAATCTAGGGAAAAAGTAAAAAGCCAAATTCATAGAAACAGAGTGGAATGGTGGTGGTTGCCTGGCTGGGGGTGGCGGAAATGGGGAGAGGTTGGTTAAAGGATACAAACTCAGTGATAAAATGAGTAAGGTCTGAGGATCTAATGTATAGTGTGGTGACTATGGTTGATAATGCTGTATTGTAGAATTGAAATTTGCTAAGATAGTACATCTTAATGGTTCTCACCTTAATAAAAGTTAGCTATATGAGGTGATGCGTTAATTCAGTTGTAGAGATCCTTTCACAGTGTACCATATGTATATCAGTTTATCACATATGCTTTAAATACATCACAATTTTGTCAGTTATACCTCAATAATGCTGTTAAAAAGTTGAATTTGTTAGCAGGATCCCCCACTTCCACACCTACTTTTTGCATAATCATTAATTGTAACCACCTTGTAGAAAAAATTCTATGTCCAGAGCACGCTGGATGTAGATGAGATGTTTGAAGGTGAGCTAGAGAAAACCATTTTCGAGATATATTCTAGCTTTTTCAAATCACAGTATTTCTTTCACTTCCTTGCAAGTGCATCTTCTTTCATTTGCCAGAAACTCCCACACTTCTAAATGAGCAATTAAAACCCAAAATGGGAAACTCTTGTCTCGTGGCTGGATTAGAGGTTATTTTCCCTCTTGTGTTTAGCATCTTGGAATGATTAGCTCATTTCAGGTGAACATTCAGAGGTCTAAGTGCATTCAGACATAGGTGGACTAAGGAAAACCATAGCATCAACCCAAATCTTGAGATCCTCTCTTCCCTTTTCGGTCACACTAGCACGATGTTTTTTGTTTTTTGTTTTTTTTTGTTTTTTTTTTAAAGAAAGAAAGAAAGAAAAGGGAAAATTTTTCTGCAGGCGTTAATAGCGCCTGAGAACTGACTGAACTGAACCATCACATATTAAAGTGGCAACTTCAGGTAAGCGCTACCCTACCGAGGATTCTGGGAAGTGTAGTCCGAAAGCGCCGGTCGTCAGAGCCACTTCCGCTCTCGAAGGCGCCGTAGCCCTTACTCCGCTCGGGGATTCTGGGAAGTGTAGTTCAGGAGCCGCGGAGATAGTCCGCACTTCCGCTACAAGTCTGTGACGCACGGGAGCCATCAGTGTTTGCCAGGAGGTTCGTGTTTGCGGAGCCTCTGCGTCTCTTCCGAGGTTGCTTGGGCTTCGGACCCGCTGGTGCCGCTCTCGCCCTCGGGGGATAGAAGCGGCGGACGGCAGGGACCACGGTTTGCGTCACCTTGGCGTTTGGGGCGGTTCGTGCGTCCCGAGGGTCGGGCTGCGGTCGCGGTTTTAGGTTGAGGGTCTCCCGGGCGCTCGGGTTCCTTTGCCTTCTCCACCTTCCGCTCGCAGTGCCGCCTCGTAGTGATACCGCCTTTGTAGTTATTTCTCCGTTTCTCTTCTGTAGCCTGTGTTGTGAGATTTAGGTGAAGTAAAAAGATGTAAAGGTGCTTAGAGGCGATCCTGGTCCAAGCTACCAGATGACAGGGTGCTACCAATCTGTTCTTTCCGAGAGCTCTCAGTGAAAGCTGCTCTGCTGAGCCTGCGGTGGCGTCTGAGCTCCAGCTGCGGCGTCACTAGCTCTTCTCTGATCCCTACCGGAAGCCGGGCCGTTCGTGGATTCCTTATGACTCCCCCTGACTCCCCTCTTTTTTTTTTTGCCGTGGGAGAGGGGACTGGCAAGGGGGAGGGACCCCCCCTTTTTTGCAGCGGAAAAGTGGACCGGCAAGGGGGGGTGGAAGCCCCTCTTTTTTTGCCGTGAGGGAGGGGACTGGCGAGAGGGGAGGAAGAGGGAATGAAGCCCCCCCCTTTTTCTGCAGTGCGTGGGAGGGGACCGACGAGAGGGGAGGAAGGCAGGAAGACCCCCCTTATTTTTAAAGAAAGGAGTGGGTTTCATCCTGTCTGGTGCCTGCGGGTGTCCACTGTGATTTATCCTGGGCCAGAAACGCAATTGTGATATCTTGCTGCCTCATTTCCTTTCTCAGCCCTGAATTCTCAAAGAGGGTACCGAGAGGAGGAGAAAGTGACCCCCTGGCTCCTGGTAACGTTGCAACGTGGGAGAATTTAACATGCTCTGTGTCATTTCTGCTCTCAGTTGGGGACCAGACTTCCTTCATTCATTAGCACATTTTTTTCTTTTGGCAAATGTTCAGATGTTTATAGAATAAAGAGGTTGGATGAGACATGCATTGACAAATAAGTAATATTTGTTAACACGTTGAGTGTCAGTCTTCTGTAGGCTCTATATGCATGAATTAGCTTAATTCTAATAACAAAGATACTGTTACCTGTATTTTACAGGTGAGAATGTTGATAGGTGGAAAATTTAAGTTGTTTTCCCAAAGTCAAACAATAGAAATGTCTGCACTGGAATTTGAACCCCGGCAGCCTGGGTTCTTGACTCTCCTTAAGCCCTAAGAAATGACGATCCCTATGCTGAGGGAGGAAGGGTCATTGGGTCATTTAGGGCCTTAGAGGACTTGAAGGTTGTGCTCATTTAATTAATTCCTTGTTATTTTATATGACATTATGTTCATATTCTTATTATAGAATTAATTTGTGTTCATCATAGAGAATTTGAGAAATAGATGAAGAAAGCCAAAGATTATCCATAATTCCAGAATGTAGAGGTAACTATAAACACTTCAGTGTATTTCTCTTTAGTTGTTTCTGTGTATGTATATTTTTTCTGTGCTTCTCAAAAATTGTATCATATTTATCATACTTTTTCATTTGGCATCTTGTGATCATGAACTATGTCAGAACACAAATGTAGAGACAATATGCTAATGAATTCTCATGTAGCCATTTATCCTTGTCAGCCTTCAACTGTTATCAACTTTCTGTCAATCTTGTTATAGAATCCTCCTTCCTCCACCTTTATTTTTTGCTTTAGTATTTTAATGCAAAAGCCAGACATTGAGCCAAGAGAATTTATACTAGATTATCATAAATATGTGGAGGTCAAAGGAGAGAGGGGACATGAACAACAATTTGAGAGTTTTTACATGATAACTAAGAGAATGGTGCTTAGTCAGAAAGCTGGGGGTCCCCCGAAAGAGTTGTAGTTAAAGACATGAGGGAGATGAATTTTATTGGCTCATCTGGAATTGAATTTGCTTCAGTTGGTCTCTCTATAGATTGTAGGTTCCTGTGCTGTGGATTCCTGTGTTGTGAGGATCGTGTCACATTCTTCCCAGTGTGCCCAACACTGTGACAAGGTTTGCAGAGAGAAGCTATTCAGTTGTTTGTGACTGGTGCAGGTGCCAACCGGCAGCTGGATACAAGGCCCTGAAGCCCTGAGAGCTTGTTTAATGAATTCCTGAAAACAGATTAGGTGATAGAACAATAAGAAGGGTCCATTTGGTAATTCCTGTCCTTTATCTCACTCACTCTTGCCTGTATACAGAAGCTTTTTCAGAGTGTTTGATAGTTGATGTACAGTTGCTGGTAATATTTTCACGTCCTAAAACAAATTTACTTAGGAACAAACCAGGACTAATGCATCATTTCTGTATTTATTTATTTATTGCATGATGATGAGGGTTATAACAATTAGCATTTATTGGGACCTTATAGGTGTGGCAGAGTTTCTAATGCTTTCCATGTATTAACTCATTTATTCCTCAGAACAGCATACAGATGCGGCACGAGAGGATACTGACCTGCAAGGGTCACTCAGCCAGTAATTATATTGCTGGAAGTGAAACAGTCCTTTCTAAAACAGCACCTCTCCATTTCTCTCTTTGCTTTACCTGCCATAGTGTTTTTTTTTCTGCCTTCTTTTAAGAGAATTTTGAATGGTTCTTACAGATTGTTGCAATCCTTCCATATTTTTCTTAACAGTATCTATCACTAGCTAACACATTATATACTTATCTGTTGATTGGTTTATTACCTGTCTCTTCTACTATAATATCAGGTTCATGAGAGCAGGGACTTTATTCACTGCCGTATCTTTACTATACAGAATTGTGCCTGACATGTGTTAGATGCTCAGTAAGAAGTATTTCTTGAATGGATGAATGAATGAGTGAATGATCCCGGTGAGTAGTAATGAGTCTCTCAGTTGATATAACACAAGATAATATCTTTGTCAATTATTCAGTCACTCACATATCATTTTTTAACAAATCTGTCTTGAGTGTCTGCTACATGCCATGAACTGGAGAAAGAGTAGTGACCAAAACAATGTGGCTCAGATTCTAAAAAGAATAAATAGTTATAAGCAAGATAAATAACTACAACACACATTAGTGTTGATGCTAAATATAAAAGAGGAGCGGATGGGAGAAGACAGGAAATGGCGGGTTTGGGGATTTAAATTATATAAAGCATATCCATGGAAGAACTCTGAGGAGAATGACATTTGAGCGAATACCTGATGGTGTGAAATAAACAGAAATAAATCATTTTTATGAATAAATAAATAAATAGGATTTGCCTCATCCAGAGCCCACGATGGACCCTTTTATGCCCTTTTATGATGACCTTGACGTTGCTTGCAAAATAAGAAACCCAGAGGAAGAAATTGGAAGATACAGTTTATCCTCTTCTCCCAACTGGAACAGCCTCAATTGTAAAGCTCAAAGGAACCTCAGAGATGGAGTAGTCAAGTCCAGTCTGTGCCCGATCAAGTGTGTCTTCAGTCATTCTTTGATCCCATGGGTTTTGAGTCCACTGTTCTGAGTGCTGGGGATTAAAAAACATGTTAATCATCTCATGGGCAAAACAGATGCTTACCCACTAGTTAACCCGCAGCTGTCCCCAGGTGATGGAACGCTTCTCAGAGGGACTTGCAAAGTGAGTAGCGAGCAGGTAGCAAGCTGAGCCAGGTATCCCAGACCCCACTTGCTTTTTACTGCTAAATTCTGTGAAATATCAGGTGTCCTTGAAAAACCCTGATACTGAGCAGAGCAGGAGAGTGCAGCAAATACACGGCCAGAGCAAGGAAAATGGACGTTATGAACTGATATTTCTTCCAGGCTTTGGGAAGTGGATGCCTTGCTCTCATCCCTACTGGAGTACTTCTGCCTGAGGTAGGAGGACCCGCAAACATGAGTAGCTGTCACGTACTGCACACTTATATGAATAGTCACTGAAACCTCTTAACAATGCTATGAGCTAGATGTTGGTATTATCCCCATTTTACAGATTTGGAAATAGGCTCAAAGAGCTAGCCGGTCAGAAGAGTCAGTTGTGGAATCCTGATGCTGTGCCCCCACTAGACCTTTCAGCCTCAGAGCTCACTCTCATAGTCATATCCAGTACATTCTGCTGCCTTTCATTTCCCACAATACCCGGATGGGAATGATAACCCTGGGAGCTGCAAGGGATTGTGTTAGCCTCACTGCTTAGAGTTGGGCAGGTTGTTCACTGCACGAGGTTCCCCAGCTGAGGGGCTAGAGAGATGGGCCAGAGGAGGGGTCACTTTAAAATTCACACACAGCAGCCTTATGGGCTAGGGCCTGTGTCTCATGGCTTCTTTCTTTCTTGCAAGTTCTGCCTTTCCAGGACCCTTGCCTTACCCAGAAGGAGCACGAGAAAATGACTGAGTCTCAGGTGAGTTGAGTGTTTGATTTTTTTTCTCTTAAAATTACATCTCAAAGAGTAGGCACAGTTTTTTCTCTTCTGTGGGAAGGATAAAAGAGGAAAACAGGTGTTCATTATGTGCCAAATACTAGCTTTTTTTGCTGGTTCAATTTTTCGTGTTTTTTTTTTTTTTTGTCTTTAGTTTTCTTTTGGTTTTATCATCATCTTCATTTCACAAATAATAGTGCAAAAACTCAGAGATAGCAAAAAAAATTTAAATCCTCGTTACCACAGTGCTGATAAATCAGGTATTTCCCCATGCTGCATTTAATATAATTACAACCTCAGTATATGTACAATTTTCAATCTTTTTTTTCACTTAATGTTATCACTAGTGTTATGTGATTCAGCATTTCTTTATGTACTTGCCTCAGAAGGGTTTCAATTTTTTGTCTAAACTTAAGCTATAAACAAGCATACACACTGCTGTTCCTCTGGATACATTTTATTTTGAGTCATAACACTTTTGCACGGGGCTTTTAAAAAGGAATAAAATTTACTTAAGAAAATTACACGGATCTTAAGTGTCAGGTCAGTGACAGTTGTATACCTCGTTTTGAAAGTTGAATAATTGCCTTAGCCCACCACCCAAAACAAGAACTAAAACATTTACATTACCCCAAAAAGTTCTCACATGTTCTTCAAGTCAGCTTCCTATCCCTGGGAGCCATCTACTGTTCTGATCTGTTATGCGATTTGGATTTACTTGTTTTCAAATTGAATATATTTAATAAAATCACACAATTTGTATTCTTGTGTCTGGCTTCTTTCACTCAGCATAATATTTTTGAGATTCATCTGTGTCGTGTGTGTCAATACATCATGCCTTTTTATTGCTGAGCTATATTCCATTTTCTGATTATATCACAGTTTATCCTTTGGAAAGATAGACAAAGTTCTCCGTTTGAAGGATGTTTGGGTGGCTTTACAGCTTTTGATTGTTATGCATAAAGCTCCTGTGAATATATATCAATATGTTTTCCTATTTCTTGGTTAAACATCTAGAAGTGGGATAACTGGATTTATAAGGTAGATGGATGCAAACTTTTCTAGAGGGGTTGTACCATCATCCAGCCCCAACAGCTGCGTCTGAGAGTTTCGGCTGCTCTACAGCTTTGCCATTGTTTGGTGTGATAGATCTTTATTATTATAGCCATTCTAATGAAATGACATCTCACTGCGACTGTAATTTGTATTTCCCTCGTGAAAAATGTATTTCTCTCATGAGAAATGACGTTAAATATTTTTTCATTGTGCCTTTTCACAATTTATGTCTTTTATGACACCACAGATTAAATTAATCTTGAGTTTCATATAAACAGAACTGTACAGTATGTATTCTTTTTGTGTCTGGCTTCATTTGTCTATCATTGAGGTTTTTAACACATATCAATAGTTTGTCCCTTTTTGTTGTTGCATAGTATTTCATCGTTTGCATATACCACAGTTTGGTTATCCATTCACCAGTTGAGGCATTTGGGTTCTTAGTTTTTGCCTAGTGTAAATAAACTAAGCATTTGTGTACTATATTTTTGGATGAATGCAGGTTTTCATTTTTTGGATAAATAATTAGGGGAATCAGGGTCATATGCTTATTAACTTTTTCAGAAATTGCCAGATCATTTTCCACTGTGGTTGTACATTTTACATTCCTCCCAGCAATGCGTTAGAGTTCCAGATGGCTCCAGAGCCTTTCCAACATTCGATAGTTTCAATCTTTTAAATGTTAGCCTTTCTAATGACAGCAGTGTTGTGGTATGTC